TGTTTTTTATTTTTGCACCATTTTTGTAGTGCTCTTGAATAAGTTTAATGCGGTCTTCAATCGAATACGACTGCATAGCGATCAATGGTAAACATTCAACTAACAAAATGACATGTCGGTGACAGAAAACAAAGATGGCGTCTATGTCAAATTGACGTTTACTTTCCTGCGTCCCTATTGGACAACCCTTTAAAATTAGCAGATGTTCAAAATGTTGTCTGTTATTTTGTGGGCAAATCATGACTCCTCGGTACATTGTTCACTACTCTCTTGATAGTGTCAATGTGTATCTACAGTCAGCGGACAAACGAATGTAATCAGTGCCGCATAAATATCCTACGCTTCTGCAGAAATTTATTTTGAAAAAATGTCCGACGGAGTCTGGGTATTGTTTCTTTTAGAGCTGTGAAAGCATCTCCAACGATTCTGCGGAGGTGTGAAGTTAGCCTCCGTAGTAGTATTTTTAACAAAATGTTTGAAAGAATCGGAGGATATTTTTTTTAACTGTAGGGTGGACAACCGTCTACGATGGGTAGGCCAACGAATGCAATAAGTGTCGCGATTTTGTAGAGTTGTGCATTAGACCCATATTCAAATCTTTTAAGAAAATATATTTGTAGGCTCCAACGGATTCCTTTAATTAAATCAATGGATGGATGATGTGTTTCAAACGGTCAGCAAATATCGAAAACTAGTCTTATTCCTAACCAGTCATTTTCGGTAATTCTGGGGATATTTGGCTAGACATCTTTGGTCAGCGTGGACCGATATTTTTTCCATTTCCACCATATTCTGAAGGTGGACAAATGAAACTAAACAGTGGACCAATGTGGATTAACTATGGACAAACGAAAGTGCAAAACGTTTTTTCAGTATTCGAAAATTTTGGGGCTGCGTGAAGTTAGCCCCAAAATTTATTATTTAGGACGAATGTGGGCAAACGATGGACAAACGAATGACATGAATGAATTCCTAACCCCCGTTTTCTTGGAGCTAACTTCACTGACCTGATAGCAATCAATGTTAAAAGTAAGGGGAATGTCCTTATGTTAATGTCTCAAAGATAAGTGACATATCAAATGGATTTTTACCAAAGTTAAAGCAGTACAATAACAACTGTTCATTGTTTTTTGCATTACAAAAAACGATCTCACAATTAATTCTGTTTCACCTTTAGTTACATAAACTAAACCCTCCAGCATTGTGAACAATGACTAATGCACCCCTTTTTCGAACTTTCTAATGGCAATGACTTTTTCAGAGTCGCCGTAATTGTATTTATAAATGTTATTACATTTATGCGACATCATGTTGTGTGGAATGGTTTTCAATAATAGAAAAACAAATTTAATAATGTTTTTCTCTATGTTGTTGAGTATGTTATACAACTCGATATTGACCGTGAACCTGTAAAATATTTGGTAAATTTACCAAAACCGCATAGATAAAGTAATTGTACCGTTAACTAAATAATCATTTACGGGGGGCAAGTGAAATATTTCTGCGCCCGAATACACGTTGCTTTTCGATTCATTTTTGTTTAATTCAAAATTTGAGAATGATTTGACTACCAAGCATTTGATTGTTATTGCATATTTTGGAACGTTTTAACAAGCTTCATGAATCAAAAAATATTGGATGTAAAACTAAAATTTCTTCTAAAAGACCAACTGTAATAGTAAAAAACAAATCTAAAATGGGTAACTAAATCAAAAAGACTTATCGTATCATTTTCTACGTCCTTCAAACCTCTTCATCAAGCTGTTTCTCGTACGTTTTCTTTCCGGTTCTCTTTCTGCTGACATGTTTGAGAAAGCGCTGACCTTGTTCCTCACTTACGGTACCAAGATTTTCAGGTAAAAATTCGATCTACATAATGTTCACGAAAATTGCTTATCATATTATTCACTATATTCTCAGTCCATTAGCGGCTTGCATTATCTTCCTATGACAGGGCCAACAAAGATGTTCTCTTTGATTTTTGCATTCGAGGGTCCATTTAGGCGGTTTTGGGCCCAAATAACTTTGCGCAAAAATATATATAGTCTCTTTAATATTTATCAACAATATAATATCGACTTCACACTAAACGGACCAATTTCCAGTTCCCAGCTACGTTTGTTTCGGTGTTTCAGTTAGTATCAGACGGTAGTATTAGGAAAAATAAAAAAAAAACGGTTACAAAATATACGTGATGAAATTTTTACCTACATACATATATCCACCCAAATTGCTAATTAGTTTTTTAACGGGAAAACCATTTTAGAAATCTTGAAAACGTTCAAGATTGTTTTTGCTGAATATTTTTTGTTTTTTAATGCCTCAATTAAGCGAGACATATCATTACTGGCGACGAGAGAAAAACAATGTCAATATCCATATAAAATTGCCCATTGCCTTTTACTTCATACGCTACTGGGCGAGGAGGTATTGTAATCATGAAACATTTTTTTGATGCTATATGACACGCACATCACGAAAAATCATATCACGCATTTCTGTCTGTCCATTTGTCTGTCCGCAAATTCTTGGCCCGTCTATAACTAGCGAATACTGGTCGGATTTTGATGAAATTTTCAAACAAGATTGCTATTACGCCAAGGGTTAAAAAGCTCTGTAGTGTTTGGAAAGCGGCGGTGCTGACACTGACACACCGCTACAAAAGAATATTTATATATACTAAGTGACATATAAATCCGAACACCCAGTTTAAATGGTTTTATTTTAATAAAATTTTGTATAAGTACTTAATGAAGCATAATAAGTAAATGATAATAAATTCAAAATGATTGCACTGCTTTAAAGCCCTTTGACCTTTATAATGTGTGGATGCACCCTGATGTGCTACGCATTCTCCAATGCGCCTAGGCATGCTTCTGATCAGGTGGTCAATGTCCTCCTGTGGTATCTCATTCCAGGCAACCACCAACTCCTCTCGAAGTGCTTCTAGAGTCTGAGGAGGACGTTGCAAATTGAGCAATCTCCTACCCATCATATCCCACACGTGCTCAATTGGAGATAAGTCGGGAGATCTTGGTGGCCATGGTAACAATGTGACATCATTATGTTGAAAGAAGTCTATTGTGACTCTTGCAACATGTGGTCGGGCATTATCTTGTTGGAAAGTTGGATCTGCCAGGGTGTTAAGATAGGGTAAAAGATGGGGTTCTAGAACTTCGTGGATATAACGCTGCTCGTTCATGTTACCTCTGATGAAGATTAAAGGTGACCTGGAACCATAAGCTATAGCACCCCAAACCATAACTCCAACAGTGTGATGAACATGTCTTTCAACAAAAAACTGTGGATTCCTCCTTTCACCACGTCGCCTTCTAACCCTGGCACGACCATCGTGCATGCCTAAACAAAATCGAGACTCGTCACTAAAGACAATACTGTTCCATTCCTGATCCCAGAGTGACCGTTGTCTGCACCACTCAAGGCGATTACGTCGGTGTTCTCGAGTTAAACGGAGGACCCAGTGTGGCCGGTATGAAAACAAGCCAAAACTTTTCATTCTTCGGTAAACACTTCGCATGCCAATAGGTCTTCCGTGTTCTGCAAACCATTCATTTGCAATGGACCTGGTAGTGGAGAAACGGTCCCTTAAGGCCAATAATCCTAGGCGGCGATCTTCACGGTCTGTTGACAACACCTAACCACAATGTCTACGCTTCTTTGCACTCTAACTGCAATTGTCCGAAAAGAAAGTCCAGCTTCCCGAAGTCCCACTATACGGCCCCTATCAAACTCACTAATTTGACGAAATCGTACAGGTCTCCGTACTCTAGGCATCGTAACCGATCGTAAAGGATGTCAAAAACCAAAATCCGCCAACGTTGATTCTTTACTGCGGCTGAAATATTCATTTTTAGTGAATTAAAAAAAAGCAGTTTAAAAACCGGAATGTCCAACTCATAAGGCTGAAAATTTTTTCACTTGTTATTTACAGTAAGATAAATACATTCACCAACTTTTATTAAAATAAAACCATTTAAACTGGGTGTTCGGATTTATATGTCACTTAGTATATATTAGGAATATTTGAAAATTAGGAATACACTTTAGCGTTCTGCGATGCTTTTATAAATGATGACTTAACTGTCTTTATATCTACAAATATATTTTTCTGAATTTTATGATCCTTATATGAACCACCCATTTTGCCTAACCTGCAGCTTGTGTTACTCAATCTATGATGGTTCTCTGAATATTTCGTGGTGTTCAAAATTGTAGGTAGTAAATTGTTTCATATTTGGAGTCAGTGAAAGACCTATTATTAAGAAGCCGCTGATCCCAGTGATACTATGTACCTCTTAGGCATAATAAGAAACACATATTTTCACCACCTGCCATGGAAACAGTATGATAGATTTACTTTACATAGTTTGATATGTAGAAGTCAAAGATTTTTCATACCTAAGTCAACCTACCTAATCACAATTCAAATTCGCCTTTTGAAAAGACTTGACTCATACCCTCGCTTTATTTGAAAACTCCAACGAAGGCGTAGGAAGTATAGAGTCAATCTACTTGACGAAACATTTTTTTTCTACCGATATCACATCAGATATCATGGCTTCTTCCTTTCAGCTGTTGTGAATAATGAGACTTGTGCGTTCCATCTTCTTCTCGGTGATCTCGGTTCCGACAAGCCAAAACCAACTATCTCGGTTCCGACAAGCCAAAACCAACTTTCCTCACAAAACAAATATTCCCACATGTTGATCAGTTTTACGAAAGAAGGAATGTCCATAACACCTATTAGCATGGCCATCAAGAGCCAGATAGATACCTAAAAATGACATTGAACTGACCTCCACCCTGGCCAAGAGGAGGGGTTTGTGGCCAAATCGTTCAGTTTTATTCCGAGTACATAGAAGAACCACATATTTTTATACTCAAAATAAGTCTAAAATTTTTGCGTGTGACATCAAATTCAACTACGAAAAGTGTCTGTGTAAGAATTGCATATTTCATATTTTTCTCCTTTGTTTCAGGGGGTACAAATCTGGGCAACGCAGTGGCCACTTCCATGAATCTCACTAACAGCAGTGAACCAATGGGAGAATCATCTAGCGCGCCTCATTATAAACTGGAACCGTCGCACGATGTAGTTTACTACCAGGTAAATTTTTACTTTTTATAAAGGCCAATCGGACGAAGCGGTCTTTCTGTTCTTCAATTTCGATTTGACGTCGTTTCTTGATAAATGGATACCTGCCAGGAAATTGGGATGGGTGGATTCTTTTTTTTTCTTCTCGCATTGTTTCTGTAATGGAGTTTGAAAAAAAATTGGTCGATAGGGAAGTCGTTTTCGGGCTACGTGACTTAAAAAGTTGGATGGATCAAATTGATTACTTTTACATATTCTTCTTTTAGTCTAGGCGTAGCCGCAATGGTCAGGTGTACCCTTATATGTCTCCTTAGTTTGAATGCAGTGCATTATTAGACACCTACAGTATATTCAGATAAGAGATAGACCGGATGTAAACAAAAGGTTCGGGTGATTTTCACGCTAACGCCGCCGTCTCGACGTAAAACAGGAGCCCTCATTGGTCAATTCGCAATTAAATACCTATGCCGAGCGGCAGAGCAGTCGTATCAAGGCAGAGTCACATTCAGGTTCAGACGTGTTACGTATGTCGTGTGCATCATTGCAATTTGATATTTCTTTGGACGTTTTCGTTTGTTATCTTATTAAGTTGTTGAGTTTGTCGTTATTATTGGTATACCTTGTTATTGATTGTTATTGTTATCAACTGCTTGCGCAAAATGCCCAGTAGTACAGATACTGCCGATGAAGTTGTAAACTCCTGTAGTCCACTTAGGAAACGCTCTAAAAAAAGACACCTGAGTGCAGAAATGAAAGAGGTCATTTTGAATATATATAAGATCGAGCGCGAGGAGAACGAGGCATCAACCATCAAACAAATTGTTGTGAAGGTTTCTCACAAAGTTGGGGTGTGTCGCGCATCAGTGTTTAATGTGTTAAGACAATACAAAAAAAATCACACCTTTTCTGAGCCAATGACCAGTAAACATCGCAAAAGTATTGTTAAATCATTGGATGAAGCTGATAAGCATGCGATTAGGAGGAAAGTGCACGAATTCTTCTTTAGGAATGAAATACCTACTATAGATAAAGTACTGCAGGAGGTAAATGGAGATACAACGTTGCCAAATTTCAAACGATCAACTTTCCATGCGTTACTGAAGCATTTAAATTTCAAATGAAAAAAACGGGGTCGTAATAGTTTACTACTGGATAGAGAAGAAATTGTGCTATGGAGGAGGGATTATTTAACAAAAATTGGGAAATATAGAAATCAAAACAGGAAGATTTATTACCTTGATGAAACGTGGGTAAACGCAGGACACACTACAAGTAAAGTATGGGTTGATGATTCTGTAACTTCATCCAGGAGGGCCTTTCTAGATGGACTGTCCACCGGATTAAAAAATCCAGCAGGTAAATACGAGTAATAGACAACAATCGGATGTTTTTCAAACCTTGGGAACAAGGTTCTAAACATTAATTCCAGGGGGCAGATAAAACATATTACAAGTAACAAAACTTTTATAACTTTCGATAAAATGCGTGGATGTTTTATTGTCATTTTCATTTGTTAGAACTTTTTTAAGCCATGTTTTTATGTGTTTTCGATATTTCAATAATTTTTTAATACAATCTTAAAATATGTCGAATATTATAAACTTAAAAAAGTTACTAAGTTTTATATTGTGTACCGTTCCTAATATTTCTAATCATTTTAATTCATACTTTAAGCTTTATAAAGTTATAATTTGTTAATATTAATATTTGCGCGTATTTCAGGTTCCTGATCATTCATTTTTTAAAGGTTTATAACTTTAAATTAAATTGTGAAGCGCTGAGTAATCATACGACGTTCAATATTCTTTCTTTCAATATGACTAAATAATCCCAATTATAGCAATCTGATACTCATGCCTCAATGTTTTTTCGCTGAATGTGATGAAAACATTTGAAAAAGGTTCGCTTATTGAAATAAATCTACACCAGTTAGTACTTCGATTTCCAGGTAAAGGGAAAAGGCTCATTATCTGCCATATTGGCAGTGAGGATGGATTTGTTGTTGACGGTCTGTGGTGCTTTGAGTCTAAGAAAACTGGAGATTACCACGAGGAAATGAATGGCGAATCGTTTGAACAGTGGTTTTCAAAAATTTTACCGAACTTAGAGGAAAACGCAGTAATTGTGTTGGATAATGCGCCTTATCATTCTCGAAGAATGGAGAAGGTCCCAACAACGGCTTCAAGGAAAGTTGATGTTCAAAATTGGCTCCGCTCGAAAAATATCAACTTTGAAAAAGCAATGCTGAAAGTACAATTATTAAGAATTGTCAAGGAACACAAGGCGGAATATCAAAAATACGCCATTGACGAAATGGCAGCAAGTCAAAATAAAACTGTGCTCCGTTTACCTCCATACCATTGCGAGCTCAATCCCATTGAGCTCATATGGGCAGAGGTTAAAAATTATATAGCTAAGCACAATACAACTTTTAAATTTTGTGACCTCAAAGGACTTTTCAAAGAAGCACTAGAATTAATAACAAAAATGGGAAAACTGTGTTAAGCACGTGAAAGACAAAGTTGAAAAGAGAATGTGGGAACTGGACAATATTTTAGAGGAACAAGTCGAGCCATTCATTATTGACGTTGGTGCTTCAGGCAGTAGCGATGATGAAAGCTCATCAAGCTCATCTTTCCAATAAAAGATGTCGTTCATCAAATTCGGTAAGTTATAAGTAATTATAAAGCTACTGTATTTTTTAATTAATTATTGACATTTTTGAACCCATTTTGGCAAAACCTATTCAAGAATCTACTTTCTGACAATGTTCAACCATGCACATTTTTTTACGTTTTGAACGTTTTAATTTGGTTACATATTTACCAAGAAATCAAAAAATATACTAATCAATATTCTAAAAGCAGTTTTAAGAGATATACGATTATTTTTAAATTAGGCTAATTTAAACGCCATTTTGAGATTATATTCGACTGTATTTCACCAAACATCAGGCGGCATCCGAAGCTGGAAATCGAAGCGAAAATTTTGAAACCCTTATGTATATTTACATCATTATATATTTCTTACCCCACCCCTACATGATCCTATATCCATCACCAATCGTATATACATCGAATTGTGCTAATTTACTACAAAGTTACGCAAAGCAGCATCTACTATCTAAAATATGTACTGCGTGACTCTTAATACGTCCCTGCCGAATGTTACAGCGTTCGATGATCACGTGGTCTTGTTTATGTCCGGTCTATCTCTTATCTGAATATACTGTATACTACCGTACATAGGAAAAAAGGCACATTTAGAAAAGATGTCATTGATCACGTTATTTAACAAAAATAGTTTTTTTTCACTTTGTCAACTGTTTCATATCAACTACATTTCCTAAACATGAAAGTGGTAAATCAATTTATGAAAGCAGAAAAGCATTATTCTTCAAACTATACTGCTTTTATCTCCTGTAAGGTACAAGTACTGCATTTTTACCTTTTTTATAACCCAATTAATTATTTAGTTTTTTATGTATGAATTCTATTATTTATGAATAAGTATTTATCGTTATAAATAATTACTTTTTCACGGAAAGAATAATTTTGAAAAATACTCAATAAATAGATTATGAAAACTCCAAAAAAAAAACAGTAAATTTGTTTTTGGAGAGTATAAAAGCAGTAAATCACATGCTGAAGCTTTTTGATTTATAATTAAATACGGAGTGTCATTTTAGGCCTCAACAACAATTCTGATCCGAAATCACATTTAAATGCTCTCTATAAGGTCATGTAACTTTGCAATATTCATTCACTTTTATTCTGTCGTAATAATATTTATCGAGTTCCAAAAAAATCCGGAATTTTGAACTCGTTTTACATTGCCTTTATAGGAGGTATATAAAACTCGGGTCACGCGATCTAAATCGTGGTCGTTTAGCCGAAAAATTAAAAAATGTTACCAAACGTATCTTCGTAGCCAGTGGACTTTTTAGAGCTCATTTTAAGTACAAATATATTCTGTGATTATACATTTTTTGAATAATATTGACGCATACCAGGATTTTTAATTCGTATTTTGCAAAAGCTTTTCAGTAACACTACGTGTAAAAGGATACAAAAGTTGCGGCAGAGTACAGATGTGATTTTATTGATTTTCAGAATAGTTCGTCAGAGATTAATCAGACAGATGGTTTCCTGTCTTCTATACTGAATGATGAGGATCTTCAGTTGATGGACATGGCCATGAATGAAGGTAGGTGTATGTATTTTTCTCACTATTGGTATAGTGATAGATAATTGGTCTATAAGTTTGATAAGATTTTTTGCCATTTGTTTCTCTTAAGAGCAACTACTCTAAATGTTATCAAGTGTTGACGTTTCGTAAACAAGCGCTAAGGTTGTGTGATGTATATGTTTTTCTTTGTTATGTTATTTTTGTTGTTACGCGCGTTTAATAACACGATATTATCCAAAACTGCAATCTGTGCCTCAAACCTGTAGTCAGTTATATCATAGCTTAATATCTTTTCGAAAGCTCTTTATATTACAACGTATCTTAAAATTAGATCATTTTCGAGATTTTTTTGATGACCAGTGGATGTGGTCGAAACACGTTAGCGAATTTTGGCATCGTCTCACTCCCCATGCCTAAGTGATATATATATATAACTTGAGACGTGGTCATTGTCGTCTAGACCAGTTAGGTTAAAGCTTCCGCCTTTTGTTGGGTACTTCGACAAAATTTAAGCAAAGAGGACGCTTTATACTTTTTTTAATTCTCTCTAGCTTTCAATGGACTTTGCCATCATCATCAGGAGCTGCAATTACAATGATAACAGTAGCAACAAAAGTGTAAAATGAATTTAAATTGACTCGACTTACAGTAGTATGTGAGGATGTTGCTAATTGTTGTTTTCGTATAGGATGAGGGAAAAGTCCAGTAACATGGTGAGAGCTGGATACATGGTACAATGGTTAAAATTATATAAAATATGACAAGACAAGTTGAAGACAGATTAAAAATTATTTAGAAAACATTAGAGCATTACGTCGTGAAGCCAGTTGATGATTGCACAAAATGGTGGTCATGGAATAATGAGTGAGATGAACTTTTGACAGAAGGCCGAAGGTTGTCAATGTCTGTGTTAAAAGATGGAACGAATTGTGGGCGTGTGCCAAAACGTTTCTAAATTACTTCAGATGATGTGATTTTCAGAATGTTATGTAAGAAATTGTTAAACCGACCAGAGGCAGTTGAATAAACTATATTTTAATTGATGGGAATTTTAAATTAATAATTATTAATAAATCGTGAGAAGAGAATTATTAGATTTTGAGTGGAATGAAATTTGTTGGTGGAATCGGCCAAATTCCCAATAATAGCATCAATCCGAACAGTACAAGCACCAACCCAGACTCCAGACCTGTTTTTGCTGTCTTGCCCTATATCAAGGAACTGACCCCTAAACTGATCAGATTGTGCAGTCCTTTGAACTTTCGAATTGCTTGCAAATCCGTCCTCACTATAAACCGCATTTTTTCAAAAATGAAAGACAAAGTCCCGCTGCTTGGCTTAACTAACACAGTCTACTCCATCAATTGCAACAACTGCAACCAAATATACATAGGTCAGACCTCCAGATCTCTTAAAGGAAGGATTACATCACACAAAAGTGATGCTAGGCTTCATCCTGAAAGATGCGCTCTAGCATCTCATGTTAACACAACAGGGCATTCTATGAATTACACAAGTATCAAAGTTCTTGATAAAGAAAAACACCTTTCCAAACGTTTATTCCTGGAAATGTCCCACATTTTCATGAATAACAACTGTATCAACAAAAAGACAGATATTAAACAACTGAGTGTCATTTACTCATATTTGCTAAACTGCGAAAAATTGGAGCAATTACATATCTCCCCAAATTTCGACTTTTCACAACCATAAATATAATCTGTGTTTTGGCCGATTCCACCAACAAATTTCATTCCACTCAAAATCTAATAATTCTCTTCTCACGATTTATTAATAATTATTAATTTAAAATTCTCATCAATTAAAATATAGTTTATTCAACTGCCTCTGGTCGGTTTAACAATTTCTTACATAACATTCTGAAAATCACATCATCTGAAGTGATTTGGCAACGTTTTGGCACACGCCCACAATTCGTTCCATCTTTCAACACAAACATTGACAACCTTCGGCCTTCTGTCAAAGGTTCATCTCACTCATTATTCCATGACCACCATTTTGTGCAATCATCAAGTGGCTTCACGACGTAATGCTCTAATGTTTTCTAAATAATTTTTAATCTGTCTTTAACTTGTCTTGTCATATTTTATATAATTTTAACCATTGTACCATGTATCCAGCTCTCACCATGTTACTGGACGTTTCCCTCATCCTATACGAAAACAACAATTAGCAACATCCTCACATACTACTGTAAGTTGATTCAATTTAAATTCATTTTACACTTTTGTTGCTACTGTTATCATTGTAATTGCAGCTCCTGATAATGATGGCAAAGTCCATTGAAAGCTAGAGAGAATTAAAAAAAGTATAAAGAGTCCACTTTGCTTAAATTTTGTCGAAGTACCCAACAAAAGGCGGAAGCTTTAATTTTTCACCTATATATATATATATATATATATATATATATATTTCATATTACATGATGTACCAGTACATCACGTAAAACCATGTCAATCATTTTCATCGGTCTGTCTCTACTTGTTTGTCTGTCGATATGTCTGGATCGGAAATTTTGACTCAAGGTTGTTACTCTGCCAAAGACGAAAAAACTTTATAGGCTTGAAAAGTCGGTCCAGTGTCGATGGAGCAAAAAACAAAAAAAAACATAAACATTTGCTGAAACTTTGTTTTTTTACGCTTCGGAGATCCCTGATAATTTTAAAAGACGATAAAGCTTTGTAAGAGCGATCCTGTGATGGATGATCTACGGGCAAAAAATCAACTTGTTTTTTGACGTTCCAAAAATTCCTGGTCACTTTTGTATTTTTATGGTATATATTTATCTGTTTTTGGGGCTAGTATATTCATATGCTTCTAACCCTGGTGATACGACGCACTATTAGACATATTTCACACAAATTTCTCCGTACATTGCCTTGCATAGTCAACCTACTTGACGCATTTTTATCAAACGTGCAGGTTTATGGTTTTGGCACTTGGTAATGCGACGATAATTTCACGCAACTACTTGAAATTCTTCAAATCCGTAGGATTTATATTTCTAAATAACAACAACAAAATTGGATTGTATTGGTCGAGTAGTTTTTTGAGAATTTCTAATTGTTTATCCAAAAACACCTGTTCTCCGGCCATCACTAGTAGTTTATTAAGCAATATACAGGGTTTCTTTCAAAGAGCATTTAATAGCAAAATACACGTGTTTACCTTGCCGATTCATATCGGCAATGTAAACTAGTGTATTTTGCCATAAAATGCCCTTTGAACTAACACTGTATATTGCTCGATAAACTAGTAGCGGTGGATGGAAAACAGGTGTTTTGGGATAAACAATAAGTAATTCTCAAAAACTACTTGACCAATCTACTCCAATTTTGTTGTGGTTATTTAGAAGTACGACTCCTCCGAATTTGAAGAATTTCAAATATCTGCAAGAAACCATCGTCGCATTAACAACAAGTGCCAAAACCTATAGTTTGTCTCGGTTTTTGGTCATAAGTTTTTTGCTGTTGCTTGGATCTTTCTACGGTCTCATTTTGTAGGTATCATAAATACCTAAAAATATTTTTTGAAGAGTTTTTTCGTTCCTGCCACCCTTTCGATAGAATCCAAAAAACACGTTTTCTTATTCTTTGTTGTCGTATAAAAAGTTTTCGCACAAAAATTGGTGTACACAATTTATGCGTCCATGTTTAAAATACCCCCATATGATTAGACCATTATGGCTGTTCTGCTGCTTAACCCTTAACAAACATAAATTAATATCAAAAATATATACAATAACATGTGTAAATTATAGTATAATACTAGACAGATATAAATCTATTTATTATGTCGAAATTATCTTTTGAAAGGAACTATGCAGTTCATGTTTATAATTTAGAGAAATGAGGTGTGATGTCTTGAAATTTGTTATAAGTATAAGAAAAACGAATATTTTTTGACTGGGTAGCTTGTCTTTTAAAAATGTGCTATGTGCACAAAACATAATAAATGTAACATAAATAATTTTCTTCCCTTTGAATTATTCAGTCGTTCAAAATACGAGCTAATGTGATCATACTTTCCTTTCATAGTTTTATTAAGAACCACTGTGATGTACAGTAATTTATGATGATACGCCACTGCGGGAAGCCATTTTGAATTTCTCTAATGGTTTTATTTCCTCTCCCTCGCCCTTTCAGCGGATTCTAGATCCATATAGCTTTCTTTTTAGGGGCCGACATAAGAAATGAGATCGCTTCAACATCAGAGACGGGTGGTGGGATATTATAAATGGTTCGAGTTAAGTGGTAGGGATTGAGAGACATTATTCTAATACCTTTTCAGATGCCGCACCCCAAGCCGCATACTGGCCCGGCATCCCTCAAAAACAAATTAATGGGGAATTATAAAAGCTCCTTTGTTTCGCTTGAAGCTTTTGATGGTATTTTCACAACAATAACGTACTAGCTGTTACCCGCGACAACGTAAGGTTTAAATTGTTACTAACATAAAACAATGTATTTAAGTAATGTCATAACTTCCTATTGCATTTTGGAACTTTAATGGTATTCGTAAATTGACATCAAACTTGCATTCTTGGGTTTGGTTTTCCTATTACTTGGTCCAGCTTTAGATCAAAATATAGATAATCACTATGACAAACATACGGAAGGCTTGATCTATTTTATCGAATTGGAAGGTATATGGCGTTTTATATAGACAATTTCCTGTTGATGACAAACCAAATTTGAAATTAAAAAAATTCTTGAGAAGTTAAACCTTAGGTGAACATTTCAACCAAAAATGTGAGCAACTTCGGATTTTTTATTTCTGATTTTTTACTCCAAAATATAGCCTTAAGTGTGTTTAAAATACTTCAGAAGTTTTGAAATGGTATCCGCATTAATTAAGGATGTACGTATATTTATGTACATACATGTCACCCTGGGTTTGATGTTAGGCGCTTGTTTAGGTCGACTGGTTTGCGAAATACTGCATGAATCATTTTAAATGTATTTGAACATAGAATTATAGTTTATTTTCATACAATT